AGAGTTGAAAATCATATTTAATTGAAGCTAAACTCAGTTGCATCATCACTTAGAAGGACAATTTTCATATCTACATTGAATAATGAAAAAAAAATACAACTTCCAGTATAAAATCACATATTTTTTTTTTCATTTGACAGAAAACAATGTTTTAATTATTATTCAAAACATGCAGTAGAAGTATTTATTAGTGGTAATTGAGAAGATTAGGATTCGAAGAAATTAGTCCAGCAGTATAATCCACTGAAATTAATTTGAGAAGAGATAGATAAAAGTGAAGAGAAATCCAGAGGACTAGAATTTTAGAGAAGATAAAAATAAAATGGATGCACCTGTGCCATTGTAAGCGATCTTGAGCCATGTCATTCAAAGTCTCCAACCATCGATTACTATCATCTAATGGACCCTAACTAGGTAGTCGACACTTACCATCATGACTCAATCTAGTTGTCAGTGACTTCATGGAATCTGTGCCATATTTTGATTTGGCCGCCCATAGCTTGCTTCCAGCCTATCCCTACAGCAGACATCATCGCTCAGTGCGACTGTCAGTGGTTGGACATATGTAACACCTTTCCCAACCATTTCAGTTTCACCACTTCAAGTATTAGTTAAATTAGGGTTTATCTAAATTCCTCTAATTCGCTCTCTCTCTCCCTATATATATAGATTTGGTAGACAAATATGTGGTAACACTTTAGTTTATAGTTTTATTTCATTTGGAAAGGAAATCAATCAAGGTCAACTTATATGATTTATGCGAAACAATTGGTTCGGTAGAGAAAAAAAGAAACAATTTTTTTTCCAGAAAAAGAAAGTTTTACGAAAAAATCAGTAACTGTTATTATTATTAATTGTGAAAGTAGTAGTAGTCGTAATAGTAGTGTGGTGCGCGCTACTTATAAGTAGTATATGACGTGTGTCAACGTAGTGTCTGGCAGCAAAAGATGGGGTAAGATCAAGAAAGGAAGAGTGGGAACACAATGGAATTTGTATGAAACGCATGAATGGTGAAATGTCAGACAATGGATTGAAGATTTGCAAATTAACCGTTTACGATATACTTTTCCTATTTTACTGAGTAACTCTATAATTTGCGATAAATACAATTCGGTTGTCCTCACCCGTGTTCTCCTTCACTACAGTAGTACAAAGGAACGGAGTATTTCTATTAAGATGATTTGTAAAAATGACTTTGTATTTACCTCAAATTAATCTTTTATTTTTTTATTAATGAAACTTTTAGTTTTTTTTCTACTATAATGAACAAAAACTAACATAGATTTTGAGAATACATGAATCAATGAATGAATGAACGGATGAACTTGAAAAAAATTATAAATGTATAGAAAAACATGCAGATTAGAAATTGAAAATTGAACATGTACTTTAGTAATAATACTTTGTTTTAATTAATTTGTTGAATGGAATAAAAATTAAAAAAAAGAAAAACTATTTGAATTAATTGGTTTATACAATAATAATAATATTATTATTATTATTTAAAAAATAAATCGTCCTTCAATAAAAAAAACAGTTTAGTGAATTCAATGCACTTTTTAATGATTTTATAATTAAAACAAAAACAGCTAAATTAGTTTCATATTTTAGTCAATAGACAGAAGAAGAAGCAATTTGCTTTTCAAGCTGGTTGCTATTCAGTGTGTGTGTATAGAAATTAATAGTTTTTCTTTAGCTGATTAGTGTCATGAAGCAAGGTAGCCTTAATATGGAATCTTCAAGGCTAAGAGGTGGCCAGACCAAAGAACATATTGCGATGAGAATTGGAGGCAGACATTGAACTTTAGGGGATAACTGGAAAGAAGAGTTGGTGATCCCCAGAAGTCGCTTGGTAGATGTGTTAATTTTAGAATTTTATTCATTCGGCTGATCAGTTGACCTTCAGACTACATTTCCTACCAGGAAAATCCTTAGCTGTGATTGGTTGATGTGTTATTTTAGTATGCTATTTTGTTGACTCTCTTATGGACGTTTCTATGATGTATAAATAAACTGGATTTGTGTGCTTGCAGAATGAACTTTCTACGTCTTATCAAGACTTTGTGCTACAATTAGCCGGGCCGGTTACAACGGATAAGAATAGCTTACTGTGTCACTGGTTCATTGTCTTGTTCTCGTTTACCGAACCCGTAGTAGTTTCAAGCATATCAAGTGCCAAGCATAACAGGAAAACCCGACTGTATGACAGGTAACAGGTGTAAGTAATTCGGTATAGTGGATGATATAAGATGATATGAAGTGTAACTAGTCAACTAACTAACTCTACAATGGTTGATGTATTAAAATGTAAATAATATACATATTTTGTGAAATAAAGCACATCAAATTCTGAAGTTTAAATGTGAACGTATTAATGATTCATTATGTTTGATTCTTAACTTCGCGTGGAGCCCACCCATCTTGGGTTACTGCCGGTGTCTCAAAAGCCTAGATAAATGAATAGGATTAGGCATGGAGTTAGCGACCCCATCCTGTAGGAACTTAACTCGCTAGAGAATTACTGATCAGAAAAATGCTAGTCGGTAGGGATAATAACATACGTAAGTAAGTGTTGGAGACGCTAGGTACCTAGAATTCACTTGGAAAAGGTCCTATTTTGTAATTTCATTTTGAGATTATGATTTTTTATGTTTTCGAGCAAGAGATGCTTGTTTGACCTTCAGCTTATATTTCCCAATGCTTGGCTGTCATTGGTTGATGGATTATTTTAGTACGCTATTTTGTGGCCCTCACCAAGGGCGTCTTATCATTGTATACATAAGCATGAGTTTCATTCTCGTTGACCTCATACTTTCTAGGTGGCTGTGGAATATGTTTCCTACATCTTATCAATACTTCTTCCTCTAGTTAGCAGGGCCTAGAACGATCGGTTTAGAGTAGCCTATCGTTTCGCTGAATCATTGATCTTTGTTCCGTTTACCGAGTTAGGTGAACTCTCAATAGCTCAGGTATGTCATTAAGTAACTATGTTTGATTCTTATTAAATAGTCAACACATTATGATGAAACGTAGTCGGATTGCGGAATTTGATCAATATGGAGATTACATTCAAAGTAGATAAACGACTAATATCATCAACAAACGTAGGTTTATTGATTTATTTAGAATAAAAATAAAACAGGAGAAATAAAAAAAATCTACACAGGTTATGAAAATTTACAAGTCGTATTGAACAGCTTATATAGATGATATATTCATTTGACATAAATACTGTCTCGATTATTATTATTATAGATTCTTAAGTGTGACAAATTTCAAGGCTGAGCACAGAATTCAACGAACAGCTCGAACCTAGCTGGAAGACTTAAATTTCGTAGATGATTTAGCCCTTTTATCCCACATACAATAACAAATACGGGTGAAGATGAACAGAGGGAGAGTAACAGTCTTTAGTGCAGTCAGTTTCAACATACACCAGGGAACATCAAGATTCTCTGATACGACACAACATGCAATAACCAAATCACACTTGGGTGGAAAAGCATTGGAAGAGGTGGAAATCATTATATACGTCGACAGCATCAGTGATTCGCATGATGCATCTGATGTCAATATGAAGACACGGATTAGCATTGACAAGGGTAGTATTCCTGCAACTGAAAAACATCTTGAACTCTAGACAACCCTCTTTCAGTCAACATCAAGACAGTTTTATTGTATGAAGCGGAAATTTGGAGAACTATGAATGAAAGCAAGGTAAGACATATATGACGGAAATAATCCAGTAGCATCACACACTAGATAAGCCTTCACTTGGGACCTCTGTGCTTCTATTAGGCGTAACAGGCGTAAATTAATATTGTTCTATACAGTAAAGACATATTTAGTAATTCGTATTACATCATACTAGTAAATTAACCGAATCTCGCTCTAATTACTTACTTCAATCTATTTTAATAAATTCATCAGTCTGATGTAATATTGTGGTGTGTGCTACTTATACGAACGATATAAGTAGTATAAGAAGGGACGTGAAAGAAGAAGTCTCACGGTCAGAAGAGGCAAACGGAAAGCAAATGGAGCAAACGCAAGACGTAAATGGAGTACCAACAGGAAGGAAAAGAAGCGACAACGGGAAGAGAATAAGGATGGAGCGTTGGAAGTCACGACTTAAACATAGTGTGCAAATAGAGTGTTCAATGTAATGTTTTCGTTTTTAATTGACTAAGAGTGTGAATTTACACAAAACAATCTTCTGCGCCAGCCTCAGTCTTCTCAATCTTACCAGCATATTCTATACGCTTACTTTACCTTCTGAACAATTCATTATTTTTTCATTTATTTATTTAAATTTTGATAGCTAGTAGTAGTATTAAGAGTAGTATCAGTAGCGAAATTGTTCATTCTTTATTTTTCTCCTCATAGAGTTATGGAGATTGTTGTTGATTATTGAGACCATGAATCAATCATTGTTAGACCACCATCACAAACTTGGAAGCATTGGACGGCTGTTTCGTCATCAGCAGTGAGCATCCACGACTCCACTGACTAGCGAGGTTCCAATCCAGGACCTTCGGTCTTCCACTTCTGGATAGATGCTTCCAGGTCTCTAACGGTAGTCTAACAATGATTGATTCATGATTTCAGTAATCAACAACAATCCTTATAACTCTATAATAAAAAATCAAACATTATGTTCACTAGTAACCGGTTTCATGAGGACACTCTTGGTGTTCTAGTGAGAAGCCGTAATCAGTGACATCCAACCTTATCGGATGTAAAGCAGTTACCTACGCAAGACAATGATAGACATTGCACGAAATCCCTAGATTGATCACAATTAGATATTCACACCGTTAGATATCAACTTAGTGATCCAAAGGTTAGGCGTTCACGCGCAAGACCAAAGCTCTTACATTCAAATCATTCAAGTAACCGGAGTCGTGGATGCACACCATACAAAAAAGCAGTCCACTGCTCTCACGTTTCTAATCATCGTTTAGCAACAATGATTGATGCATACATAAATTCAGCAATAAACATTATTTGATTTATTCATAGTCATTTAGAAAAAAACAAGTGATATTTGTTTTTAAAAACAAAAAACCAAACAAAGAAAATATGAAGATGAGAATAATAATAATAATAATGATAATAATTAAACAGAAAATACATTTTTTTTGAAAAAAAACATTATACAGCAGTTCAACACAAAAAAAAAAAAATAACTGACGAACAAACATTATCAAGATGAGGAACAATGAAGAGAAGAACAAGAGCAATTAAAAAAAACCAAAAAATAAGTTGTTGTTTTTTTTCAAATAAAAAGAGATTTTAAAAAAAATGCAGAACCAAAAACAGAAAATATTAAAATGATTTTTGAATCTTTTATTTTTTCTTAAGAAAAAAAACAAACAAACAACTGAATTTTATTGCGTATTTTCAAGATTTTAAAGTGAACAAGAAAGTTAGCTATTAAAAAAATAATCAAGCTGTTATTAGCCAGGTTGATGATGTTGATGATGTTATAAGAGACGATGACTGCTTCACTTCTATAAGATCAGTCGAGCACGTCCAACACCGACACCAACGACAACACGAACAACAACAGTGTACCACAAACAGGGGAACCCTTCAAACAATTGTTGTTTATTATGTCTGATGAAATATAGAAAATAATTCATTTTATAAACATTGAGTTAGTATGTTTGTTTGTTGTTGTGAAGGAGGGGGGTGGCTAAATGACACAAACGCGCACGCACGCACGTACGCACACACACACACTCTAATAAACGCACAATGATAAAAGTGATGCAGTTTTGCCGCCAACAACAGTCAGTTGTTTAGACAATAATTTTTTGTTTAAAAAAAAAAGAAACTCATGAAGTGGAACTCGAAATAAACAAAAGTAAAAATATTATTATTATCTTACAAAATAAACATAATGCATGGAATATTTGTTGATAGATGGACAGACAGACATACAGACAGACAGAAGAAGTAATTCTACGTGTGTTTATGTGTGTGTGTGTGTGTAAATTTCATGTCATGGTGGTAGTTAGATGAATGAAGTAATGAATGATACAAGTTACCGGTGAACTTAGATTGGAAGAGAGGAAAAATAAAAAAAATTTTTTTTTATGGAAAAATAAAAGTCACACTATACATACACCATAGTGAGGAATTATTTCGGATACAAAAAAAAAATCCAATTACTGACATATTTGCATGCTTGTTGGCATGAAGTCGATATGAAATACGACGTTTCGAGTAAAAGTATGACAATGACATATATTATATGTATATAAAACGCAAGCACATTGAAAGAAAAGTATGTAGAGAGGAAAATTATCTATCTATCTATATCTCTCTATATATATGTATATATGTATATCACAGTGGAAACAATTTGAAATTTTTTGGTTTTCCATCACAATGTCCACATAAATCATTATTCATCCGGTGGACACAGATATAAAAAAATCATAATTTTCATAGTAGTAGTACATTTGTAACATGTAGTTCCTCCAAGAAATAATCATTTCATATGTTAAACAAATTTCAATGTGTGTATTCAATCGCCAAAAACAAACATTGAACATTGAGCACTGAACAATGAACCAATAGAATAAAACAAATGTAACATAATGGTGAGATAGGTTATTATTATTATTATTGTTATTTATTAATATAAAGGTGTTGGTTGTAAATCCCATGAAATTTCATCAAATGAAGAATCATGACGATCTGTAAGTAATTGATTTTCAGATTTTTGTTTAGTTAAATGATATTTAAATGAATCCGATAATGTACTCATCATCATTAATTTCATCATACCATTTGGTGCAAAATGTTTACGTGATAATGGTAGGCCAGAATGCTGATGCGGTTGATGCTGATGTTGATCATTGGATAGTTGAGATGATGAAGAAAGTGGTTGTGTCAATGTTGACTTATCGATTGGTTCATCAGAAAATGAGAAAAATACATCTGGATCACTTGGTGAACGAAATATGGTTTGATTACGATTAGTAGTACTATTGAAACTATTTGTATTTGATGTGGATAATTTTCGATTGTGATCTACGTAATGGAGAATGGCACACAAAAAAACAAACAAATTAAATGATTAACTGTATTATGATTGGATAATTTATATTTATTCATTTAGTTTTAAGTTAAAGAATGAAATTTTTCATTTACAGGTTAGGCGTCCTTGCGCACAAGACCGTAGGTCCCGGGTTCGAATCCTACGAGTAGCAAATGTCGTGGATGTGCACAATCATTGATGAGACCCCTTACCAGGACGAAACGGCCGTCTTTCAGTTCTTCCAGGTTTCCAATGGTGGTGGTCTAACAATGATTGATTCATGATTTCACTGTGCTATAGTTCTCTCTTTATTACAACCCAGCTATTCCTAATGTCTTGTATTCTGGGACACCAATTTACTCGAGTCGTTCACCAATATCAGAACAGGAAATATAGATTATATTCCAATAACAAGGTTAACTGGAAGACAGAAGAAGGTCCAAAGGAAAAAGACGTTAGTATATTTATAGTTTTCTTACATGAGAAGATTCTAGAACGTTCTCTCAGTATCGGCTAGCACTGATTGGATGCTAAAGAGCCAATCAGCGTGCAACAACCTAATCTATGTCCCACTAATGCAATGTGTAAAGAATGATAAAAAAATTAAACTGAGATCATTTGTTAGTCAGTCGGCTAATGGTTGTACAAATACACTGATACATATCGTGTTGTCATTCATATCACAGGTTGGTCTTAGCTTCAGAACCTGTGAAAACTAAGGAAGCATCGGACAGTTGTTCCGCCCTAATTTTTGGTTACAAAGCAGTGCATATCAAGGATTTCGGTGAGTGTTTGACCTTAGGGCACAGTTAATAGTTAGATGGATTTTAAATTATTTTTCAAAAACATATCGATTTATATTTATAACTTGGAAAATTTTATTTTGTAAAACAGAC